TTGCTTCATTGCTACGATCTTGCAAGCGGGTGCCCAGCTTTACAGGGTTGTCTTGGTACCACTGTGTTGACCCTTCTCCGGGCCATCCATGGGCCCTCTCTGCCCGTCTGGAGGTCTGTTGAGGCCGAGTTGGCCCATCTTGCAAACTTCGTAGGGCGCTCCCGTGAAGCCGTCTCGAGGCCCTCCTGGGGTCGTCCCTTATGGAAGACTCTCGAGGCACTCCGAGGCCGTGCGACTCCCGCCCTGAAGCAAGATCAGCCGGGCTGCTGAAATAAGGAACAATACATCAAAAACGAAGCCCATGTGTTCCAAATCGAGCCGTGGAACCTGACGCAACAGCAGCAAAACCAAAAGGAACACCGTAAGGGATCGCCGCCACACAAGGAACGGAACGCATACAAATCTATGGGACCACTGGGCCCCTTTCGACCTCGAACTGGACCTGATCTCAACGAACTGACTGCACTGGGCCAAAAGTCACGGAAGTGCAACAACATTGAATAGTTGTTTGTTTCGGTGTTGTTTGCAGTCTGCGGCATCTCTTGGCGCCTCGTCGGGCCTCTCTTGAGGCACCTCGTGCGGATGCCATGGCATCCTGGGGCCTCTGGGGTCGTCTTGCTGGCTGTGAGACCATCGAAACGGGCTCCTGGAGCTCGAACGGGGATGGCTCCGCAGAACGACCAAGAGGTCCTCGTGGCGCCCAGATCGACAGCACGCGCGACTCCTGGCAATGTAGACTAATGTATGCCGGGTTCCAACGTCCCCGGCCAGATCTCGCTCAGCAGTGCTTAAGCCCGCTGCCACTGCCTGCCCTGCTCGCAAGCACTGATCCTGTGGATGAGGCTGACAACATTGGACTCCAACGTCGCATACAACACGTGGCTCGTTGCTAATGCTCTCCCGCTCCGCACGCGTTGACCCCAACATTGTGGGAAACTAGGCTCCAGCTTCGCCTCCCACATCTCGCTCAGCAGCGCCAGGGCCCGCTGCCACTGCTCACCCTTCTCGCACGCGCTGATCCCAGCGCTGTAACTGACTAGGGCTGACCCGCGGCCTTTCGGCCGCGGAATCTGCCCGCCATGGCGCGGACACGGAAGTGGAGCGTCTCTGGGGCCTCGCGGTGGGGGTGTCGGAGGCCTCAGGGCAGGAACGCGGCGGTGGAGGCGGTGTCAGTGCAAGCACACCCACACAGGCACAAGATGGTTTGGACAGAAACTGTTTGTCACGTCGCGCCCTGTGTTCATGATAGTTCCTGCGGGGCGGGGCGCCGTGCTAACTGCATCTGCTCTTCGCCGGGCACGGTGGTGAGAATGAGGCCGGTTGGGGCGGGCACGTCCCTGTACGTTCGTCTAAAGCTTAGACGAGACGGCCTATCAGGCCCGCAAGAGGGCGCCGAGACGGCCCGAGGTCTCCAGGACGAGCCAAGAGGCATCCAAGACGGCCCAAGGAGGCCCCACGAACTCCCCAAGACGGGCCCCAGCGCGAGGACACGAATCGACCTTTCGAGCTCACCGCCCCAAGACGTCCCCAAAAGGCCCAGAGATGGCTCCCAGAGGGTCCAAAAGGCCCCGAAGACGACGCTGGAAGTTCGAACAGGCTCCCAGGAGGCCGCGCCAGCGCCCTCCTTGGAAGATCCCGAGAGCCGTCCGAGAGCATCTCAGGAAGAATTCTTGAGGAATCGGACCCTCAACCCAGGCAGGAGGCATGGCCGGAACAGCAGAGAGGCGATGCTAATGCATCAAAAAATGCGGCGCACTGCACTTGCGAAGCGCACTGCACCGCGGGGATGGCGGACGTCGCGGTCAACGACGTCGTGATAGCGCGGAATGCTCGCCATCGTGAAGTCCCCGTCCGTGCCCTCCTCTCCGCACTGGAGCCGCTCAGGCGCCCGGCGAACGGAAGGATCACCGATAGGCCGCTGGAGCAACTGTCCATTTGGTTTACTTTGGCTGCGCGTTGGGAGCCTTCTCGGGGTGTCTGGACACTCTTGGGGCCTTTATCAGGGCATGCTAGGGCCATCTCTGTGGCTTCGATGGGCGTTTGGGCCATTTGGGGGGGGGGGGGCCCTCCTCGTGCTCCCCATGGATCCTTCATCCCGTCGATCCTCGTTAGGAGCCGTCTCGGTGCGTCTGGACCCTCTTGGGGCCTCCTTCGGGTCATGCTCGGGGCATCTCGGTGGCTTCTATCGGTTTTTGCTGCCATTTTGAGCCCCCTCCTCCTCCACCTCCTCCTCCTCCTCCTCCTCCTCCTCCGCCTCCTCCTCCTCCTCCTCCTTCTCCTCCTCCTCCTCCTCCTCGATCTTTCAACCCGTCAATCTTCAATCGTCAATCAGACAAGCATTCAAGGCCTCTTGGAGGCCGTTTGGGGGCCTCTTTTCGTCCTCCTGGGGGTCTCTCGGGGCCCTCTTGGACCGTGTTGGGTGCCTTTTGGGCCGTCTTAGGGGCGATCTGGGGCCGCATTGGGCGCCTCTCGGGCCATCTTGGGGCCGTTTTGGAGCCATCTTGGGCCGTTATTGGCCGCTCTTGAGGCGCCGTCTGGGGGCGTTTGGGGGCGATCTTGGGGGCCTGTACAGCTTGGGGACTGCGCAGACGAAAAGAAAGGACATTGGAAAAATAACCGTTTTCTGAGGGGGAACGCGACGATGTTTGCCTCTTGGGGCTCTCCTGGGGGTCCTCCTGGGCTGTCTTGGGAGCCTCCTAGCCTGCCTTGGGGACCTCTGGTGGGGCCGTCCTGGGGCTCGCTGGGGGTCCTCCTGGGGCGCCTTGGCGCCCCCTGGAGCGTCTCTGAGCCGTCTTGGGGCCGTCTTGGAGCACCTTGGGACCCCCCAGGAACCGTCTGGGAGCGCCCCGGGGGCTCGGGTCACGGGGGGGTCTCTCAAGACAGTGGACCTCCTCGCACGGCAAGGCCCCTGCACTGCAAAAGAGACCAGGGCCGACCCGTGGGCTCCGGCCACGGCATCTTGCTGGAATGGCTCTCGGAAGATCGTCGGAGATTTTGCCGGAAAAACACATAAAATAAGCACGGCGGCGGCCGGGACGGCGGCAGCGAGACCGCGCCTTCGGGTCCGAGCTCTTGCCGCGCTCCAGCAGCTTGGCCCCGGCGCACGGCACGTGCGCCCCCCTCCCATGGGGGCAGTTTTGAAGTCTCTCGGGGATGCGCGTCAAAGTCGGAGCCCATCTGAGGCGTCTCAGAAGCGCCCGGGAAGGGGCTCGGGAGGCCCTCGGGGAAAGCCTCCGGGAGCGCCAGGGAGGGGGTCTCTGGGGAGGGCCCAAGAGAGCTTCAAAAGAGTGTGAAATTCAAGAAGGTCATAACAGAAACCACTGTTGGGTCGGACGTGCTCCGCTACGTTGGGGAAGCCGTTGTGTTGCAGATTTGATGGACGGCGAGGCTCTCTCGGGCGTGTCAGGAGCGCTGGGCCCCCTCTCTTGGAGGCAGTTGTGAAGCCTCTTTGGGCCTCTTGGGGGGTTGACGGCCTCACAGGTCCTCTTTTGGGCCTCTTCGGGACCTTTTGGGACCCTATTGGGCCGTCTGGACTCCTCTTGGGCCGTCTTGGGGCCACGTTCAGAGCTCCGCACGTCATCTGGACCCTCTTGAGGCTGTCTTCTGGTTTTAAGGTTTCCTCCTCCTCCTCCTCCTCCTCCTCCTCCTCCTCCTCCTCCTCCTCCTTCTTGCCTCGATCATGCATGCCCTGGAACTTGGATCGTCGATCGTAGACCCTCGGAGCATCGAAACGGCTGAGCATCGAAACGGCTGTTGGGGCTTGCGTTCTGCCAACTCACCTCTCGTCCGCCCCTCCTCTGATGGAGGGAATTATGTAGCCATTTAGGGCCGTGTGGGGGCCTCTTGGGGCTTCTTTTCGGCTTCGAGGGGGTCTCTTGGGGCCCTCTTGGGCTCTCGTCGGTGCCGTTTAGGCCGTCTCGAAACCGTCTTGGGCCGTCTTGGGCGCCTCTTGGGCCGTCTGGGGGCCGTCTTGGACCGTCTTGGGCGGCTCTTCGGGCTGTCTTGGGTGCCTTCTTGGCCATCTTGGGACCGTCATGGGCCATCTTGGGCCCCTATTTGGCCGTGCTCGGGCCGTCTTGGGCCGTCTGGGGCCGTCTTTGGGGCTGCCTTTGGTGCCTCTTGGGCCGTCTTGGGCGCCTCGTGGGCCGTCCTGGGCCCGTCTCGGGGCCCTCATGGGCATCTTCGGACGATCGTGGGGGGGGGACGCGGACGCGTCGGAGACGAAAAGCAGGAGAATGCCAAACATGTGAGCTTTCTCAAATGGAGTGAAACGATGTTTGCGTCTCCGGGCTGTCCTGGGGAATCCTCCTTCGCCGTCCTCGGAGGCTCCTGGCCTGCCCTGGGGGCCCTTGGGGCCGTCGGAGCGGCCTCTTGAGCGGCTCGGAGCGCCCCCGGGGCCGTCGCGGTGGCCTCTGGAGCGGCTTGGAGCCGTCTTGGGGTCGCGGGGGCGCCCTCTTGAGCGGCTCAGAGCCGTCTGTGGGCCGCCAGGGCGGTCTCTGGAGCGTCTCGGAGCCGTCGTGGGGCCGCCGGGGCGCGCTCTGGAGCCGCCGGAAGCCACTATGTCCAGAAACCCTTCTCGCACGCACTGTTCCCAGTATTATAGGAGAGACCACAGTGGGCTCCAGCTCCACCTCCCGCATCTCGCTCAGCAGCACCCGAGCACGCTGCCACTGCTCGTCCTTCGCGCACGCGCTGATCCCAGCGCTGTAGCTAATGGCCCTGTGCTCCGACTTCGCATCACGCAATTCGCTGAACAACCTGCGACATTGCGCTCCAACTTCACAGCCAACATCCGGCTGAGCTAGGGCAGGGCACACTTTCACTAATCGCCACTCTTACACGTGCTGATCCCTGCGTTGTGGCTAGCCAAGGCGGGCCCATATAATGGTATCCGGAGCGGCTTCATGCACGATGGAATGCCACTGCCAAGTTCAAAGTACCGATGTCCGTCGACGTAGTCGCAGTGGTTGCCCAGCAGGGTCCCACACGCACAGTGTTTCTCAAGATGCTCGAAAACGCGAAAGACCGACCTGAAGATAGCCAGGGAGTCCTACCAAGTGGCGAGACGACATCTCGTACGCTGTGATGCCCAGATTGTAACTGTTGTCGTTCGGCTCCAAATAGCTATTCCGCATCTCGCCGAGCAGCGACAAAGCCTGCTGCCACTGACCGCATCTCCTACACGCGACGATTCCAGCGTTGTAGGTGATGACGCTCGGCTCAAGCTTCACCTCCTGCATCTTGCCAAGAAGCTCCAGAGCCCGCTGCCACTGCTCGCCCTTCTCGCAAGCGCTGATCCCCGCATTGTAGCTCATGACGTTGGGTTCCAGCTTCACCTCCTGCATCTGGCTCAAAAGCGCACACGCCCACTGCCACTGCTCGCCCTTCTCGCACGCGCTGATCCCAGCACTGTAGCTGACAAGGGCTGACCCGTGGACTCCGTCCACGACATCTTCCTGGAATGGTTCTCGGATGAACGGCGCAGATTGCACCGAAAATCTACAAACACGGTGGCGGCTCGGGGGGCGGCAGCGAGACCGCGCCTTCGTGTCCGAGCTCTTGCAGCGGCCCAGCAGCTTGGCCCCGGCGCACTGCTCATTCACCCCCCTCCTATTGAGGGCAGTTTCGAAGTCTCTCGGGGATGTGCGTCGAAGTCGAAGCCCATCTGAGGCGTCTCAGGAGCGCCTGGGGAAGGGCTCGGGAGGCCATCGGGGAAAGCCACCGAAAGCGCCGGGGAGCGCAAGGATCTACAGGGAGGGCCCAAGAGAGCTTAAAGAAAGTTTGAGATTCAGTAAAATCTTAACGGGAACCGCTGTTGGGTCGGCCATCACCTCCTGGCACACCTTGATGGTGCGATCCAGTCGCATCGCCGCCAACGGGAGGGTTTGCTCGCCAAGTCCCATTCTGCTCGCCCAGAGGGCCTGCGGTCCGAAGAGTGCGGAGAGGTGCCTGGGTCATATCAATTGGCTGGTGTCCCAGGGGTCCGGTCTGCTTGGCCCGAAGAGTTTGCCAAGGCCCCTGGGGGAACATAACGGCACAGCATGTCGGGCAAAAGGGGGCGTCAGCTGGCCTCTCAGACCTGGCGTTCGTCTTCTGCCCAAGCGGCGCGGGGCCCACGGGCCTCAGGCTTGGCGGCCCACTGGGTTTCCTCTTGTTCGCCCACAGGGTTGGAGGAGGCCTCCAGGCGAACAGAATGGGGCAGGACAATGAATGTGGGAGAGTTGTCGCAAGCTCCCAGCCCCCCAAGTGTTCGCCCCAAGGGTGTGGGGCCGTTTGGCTCCCTCAAAGGGCAGTCTTGGAGCCGTCTAGGCCCGTCTTGAGGGCGCCGTTTGTCGTGATGGGGCCGTCTTGGTGCGTCGTGGGCTTCTCATGGGCGCGTCCGTAGGCCGTCCTGGGCCCATCGGGGTCCTTGTTGGCACTATCTTGGCGCTGTCTTGGAGCCGTCTGGGGCCGTGAGGGGGCCGCCGTCGAGTCGTCTTGGGCCCCTCCTGTGCGCCTCCTTGGGCCGTCCTGGGCCCAGCAGGGGCCGCGTTGGCACCTCTTGGGGCTGTCTTGGAGCCGTCTTGAGCCGTCGCAGCGCGCCTTGGGTTGTGCTGGGGCCGTCTTGGCCCGTCTTGGGGCCTTCCTGGGCGTTTCCTCGGACCCTCCTGGGACTTTCTGGGGCCTCTTGGGGCATCCGACCGCCGAAATGGCGGGAAACGCAAAGGCTGTAACAATAAACAATGGAAAACAAACGATGTTTGCCAGCTGGAGCTCTCTTGCCATCTTGGCCCGTCTTGAGGCCCTGACTGGGCGCCTCCGTGGGCCGTCATGGGCCTATCTGTGGCCGTGTTGGCACCCTCCTGGGACCGTCTTGGAGTCGTCTTGGGCCGTCTTGAGCGTGCCTTGGGCCGTGCTGGGCCCGTCTGGGGCCGTGTTGGCACCCTCGTGGAGCCGTCTTCGAGCCGTCTTGGGCCGTCTTCAGCGCGCCTTGGGCCGTGCTGGGGCGGTCTTGGCCCGTCTTGGGGCCCTCCTGGGAGCCTCCTGGGGGGCGTTTTGGGTCCTTTTGGGGTGGCCTTGAAGTCTTCCAGGGCTGCTTCGAGTGTCCGAAAGCCGAATTGGCGGCAAGCGGGAAATCTTTGGAAAAGCCTAGGACATCAAACGATTTTGACCTCTCGGGACCCTCTTGTGAGGCCTTTTGGAGGCCTCTCGGAGCGCCTTGGCGCTCGCTTCGGCCGTGTCGTGCCCATTTGAAGGCCTCGTGGACGCTCTGTGGGGCTTCCCGGAGCGTGCAAGGACCGTCTGGGGCCCTCATGGCGCCGTGTGGGGCCGTCATGGCGCCAGCTGGGGAGCCTCCAAGGGTCCCGGAGCGCCTGAAGGCTCCCGGAGCGCTCCAGGGCGCTCTGCACCGCTCCCCAAAAGACAAGCATGGAAGGGCCCCAGAGCGTTGAAAACAGCTCTTGTGGGCATGCGGTCCGGCCCTCGCCTCTCGTCCGACCCCCCTCTCTTAGAGGCAAGGTGGAAGCCACTTAGGGCCTCTTGGGGGCCGTTTGGGGGCCTCTTTCCGGCCTCCCGGGAATCACTTGGGTCCCTCTTGGGCCGTCTTAAGTGCCTCTTGGGCCGTCTTGGGGCCGTGTGGGGCCGTCTTGAGCGCAGCTCGGACCGTCTTGGGGCCGTCTTGGGCCGTTATTGACTGCTCTTTGGGCTGTCTTGGTTGCCTCTTGGGCCGTCTGGGGCGTCTCTGGAGCCGTCGCGGGCCCGCCTCGGGTCGTTTGGGGGCCCTCCTGGGGTGCTCTGGGGGCGTCTTGGGGCGATCGGAAGGCCTGTATAGCCGTCTTGGGCGCGGTGAAGACGAAAAGAGCGAGCACATCAAAAATGCACGTTTTCCGGAGGGAAGGGGCAAATTTTTGCCTCTTGGGACATCTCTGTGGCTCCTAGTATCGGCTTTGGGGCCATTTTGGCCGCCCTCCTCGCCCTCCCCTGGATCGATCATCCAGTCGATCTTCTTTAGGAGCCATCTCGGTGTGTCTGGACCGTCTTGGGGCCTCCTTCGGGTCATGCTCGGGACATCTCGGTGGCTTCTATCGGCCTTGGGGGCAATTTTGGGCGTCCTCCTCCTCCTCCTCCTCCCCTCGATCCTTCATCCCGTCGATCTTCTCGTCAGTCGTCGACGCTCCCCAAGAGACAAACATTCAAGGCCTCATGGGGTCCGTTTGGAAGCCTCTTTTCGTCCTCCTGGGGGTCTCTCGGGCCCTCTTGGGCCTTCTTGGGTGCATCTTGGGCCGCCTTGGAGCGATCTGGGGCCGTCTTGGGCGCCTCTGGGGCCATCTTGTGGCCGTCTTGGGGCCGTCTTGGGCCGTTATTGACCGCTCTTGTGGCTGTCTTGGTTGCCTCTGGGGCCGTCTAGGGCGTCTCTGGAGCCGTCGCGGGGCCGCCTCGGGCCGTTTGGGGGTCCTCCTGGGGTGCTCTGGGGGCGTTTTGGGGTGATCGGGAAGGCCTGTACAAACGCCTCGGACGCGGTGGAGACGAAAAGAGCGAGCATATCAAAAATGCACGTTTTCCGTAGGGAATGGTGCAATTTTTCCCTCTTGGGTCCCTCCTGGGGGTCCTCCTGGGCCGCCTTGGGAGCCTCCTGGCCTGCCTTGGAGGCCTCTGGGGCCGACCTGGGGCTCGGTTGGGTCCCTCTTGGTCGGTCCGGGCGCCCTCGCTGGCGTCTCTGAGCCGTCTCGAAGCGGCCTGGGGGCTCGCAGGGCAGCCTGGAGAGCCCGGCGGACCTTTCAAGACAGAGGACCTTCTGGCACGCAAGGATCGCTGCATTGTAGAAGAGACTGGGGCTGACCCGGGGACTCCGTCCACGACATCTGGCCGAGAGCATTCTCGAGGGAGCGGCGGGAATGCTGCCGAAAAGTTATCCACATGGCGGTCAGCCCCTCGGCTTCGAGGGGGCCTCTGGAGGCCCTCTTGGACCCCATTCGGCTGTCGTCGGTGCCGTCTGGGCCGTCTCGGAACCGTCTTGGGCCGTCTTGGGCGCCTCTTGGGCGGTCTGGGGGCCGTCTTGGGCCGTCTTGGGCGGCTCTTGGGGCTGTCTTCTTTGGGGCTGTCTTCGTCTTGGAGCCCTGATAGGAGCATCTTGGGCCGATCGTGGATGGCTCTGTGGCCGTCGTGGACGCGTCAATGTAAGTTCCCCGACGGGACTGGGACGATTTGCGCGTCTCAGGGCTGTCCTGTGGAATCCTCGAGGGCCATCTTCGGAGGCTCCTGGCCTGTCCTGGGGGCCCTTGGGGCCATCGGAGCGGCTTCTTGAGCGGCTCGGAGCGTCCCTGGGGCCGTCGGGGTGGCTTCTGGAGCGGTTCGGAGCTGGGGTCGTCGTGGCGTCCTCTTGAGCGGTTCGGAGCCGTCTTTGGGCCGTCGGGGCGGCCTCTTGAGCGTCTCGGAGCCGTCCTGGGGCCGTCGGGACGCGCTTCGAGCCGCCATAAGTCACTCGGTGCAGTAGCCCTTCTCACACGCCGCCAACGGGAGGGTGTGTTCGCCATGTCCCATTCCGTTCGCCCAGAGGGTCTGTGGAGGCCCCCGAGCGAACAGAACGGGACAGGACAAGGAATGGGGGAGACTTGTCCGAATCTCCTGGGCCCCCCAGGTGCTCGTCCGAAGAGTGCGGAGAGGCCCCTGGGTCATATCAATTGGCTGCTGTCCCAGGGGTCCAGTCTGGTTGGCTCGAAGAGTTTGCCAAGGCCCCTGGGGGAACAGAATAGCACAGCATATGGGGCATGGAGAGCTTCAGGAGAGCCCCAAAAGCGACCCAGAGGCACCGAGGACGCCGCTGGGCGCGGGCCCACCATTCTGCCACGGAAGGCCCCTATGTGGCAGCATGCCTCCAGCACGCCCGGGGTGAGCGTGGGGGGCCGTGGACGGCCTCACATGGCTTCAAGATCGGCCATCGAGGCGACGACGAAGCTGCGGAAAAGACAAACATTCAAGACCCTCGCAGTGTCGTGCAAGACGGTTCCTTTGGGTCTGAGAGTTGCCTTTCGCCTCTGATGAGCACTTCTGTCGGAAGGCTCGTAGTGGCTCCTGGGAGCCGTTCGGGCACCCGTTGGGATCTCTTGGGCGCCCCTTGGGGGTCTGCCGGAACCCGTCGGGGGCTTTTTGGGACGTCCTGGAGGTTTCTTGGGGCCTCCTGGCTCTGTTGGGCCTCTCTTGAAACCGTCTGGGCGGCAGTTTGCGCTCTCCTGGCCGCCTCCGGCGCCGTCCTGACCGCCTGTGGGGCCGTCATGGGGCCCTCTGGGTTCGTCTTGGGGCTTTCTTGGGAGCCTCTTCGGCTGTCTTGGAGCGAACTTGGGAACCGCTTTGGCGGTCGTGGATCGTGACGGCCAATACCATGCCAAAAACAATGAAAATCTATAGTTGTTCTTGCTCGGGACCCTTTGGGGAAGCTTCTGGGGAGGTCTCATGGAGCACCTTGGAGACCTCTCGGGCCGGCTTGGGCCAATCTTGGACCAATCTTGAGCGTCTGGGGCCCATCTGGGGGCCTGTTGAGCGGACTGGGGGGTCCTCTGGGCCCGTCTTCGGGCTCTCTTTGGAGCCTTTTCGGCCGTGTGGGAGCCGTCTTGTGAACCTCTTGGGCGTTGGTGGATCGTCTGGAAGCCAACAAGGAGAGCACGGCAAAAACCCTCCAAAAAGCAATGAAAATCTACGTTTTTTCCCTGCTCGGGGCCCTCTGGGGAAGGTTCTGGGGACGTCTCATAGAGCACCTTGGAGACCTCTCGGGCCGGCTTGGGCCAATCTTAGGCCAATCTCGAGCGTCTGGGGCCCACCTGGGGGCCTGTTGAACCGACTTGGGGGCTCTTGGGTCCGTCTGAGGGCTCTCTGGGGGGCCTCTTCGGCCGTCTTGGAGGCGTCTTGGGAACGTCTTAGGCCGTCGTGGATCGTGCGGAAGCCGAAAAGGCGAGCACGGCAAAAACCCTGAAAATAATTAGGAAAATCTGTGTTTTTTCCTGCTCGGGGCCCTCTGGGGAAGCTTCCCGGGAGGTCTCACGGAGCACCTTGGAGACCTGTCGGGCCAGCTTGGGCCTCTGGGCGGCCCCGGGCGGCCCGGAGCCAGCCCGGGGCGCTTTTGCCCCCGTTGATCCTGCGGCGTTCTAGCACGCTCGACCCCCGGCATTAGAATGTAGATGACGTCAGGCTTCAGCTTCGCGTCCAGCGTCTCGCTCAGCAGAGCCAGCGCCCACTGCCAGTGCTTGCCCTTCTCGCAAGCGCTCATTCCAGCGCTGTAGCTGACGGCGTCAGGCTTCAACTTCGCCTCCCCCATTTCGCTCAGCAGCGCCAGCGCACACTGCCACTGCTCGCCCTTCTCGCACGCGCTGATCCCAGCGCTGTAGCTGATGACATTGGGCTCCAGCTTCGCCTCCCACATCTCGCTCAGCAGCGCTAGGGCCCGCTGCCACTGCTCGCCCTTCTCGCACGCGCTGATCCCAGCGCTGTAGCTGACTAGGGCTGACCCGTGGACTCCGTCCACGACATCTTTCTGGAATGGTTCTCGGAGGAACGGCGCAGAGTGCACCGAAAATCTACAAACACGGCGGCGGTTCGGGCGGCGGCTGCGAGACCGCGCCTTCGTGTCCGAGCTCTTGCAGCGCTCCAGCAGCTTGGCCCAGGCGCACTTCTCGTTCACCCCCCTTCTATTGACGGCAGTTTCGAAGTCTCTCGGGGATGTGCGTCGAAGTCGAAGCTCATCTGAGGCGTCTCAGGAGCGCCTGGAGAAGGGCTCGGGAGGCCATCGGGGACAACCACCGAAAGCGCCGGGGAGCGCAAGGATCTACAGGGAGGGCCCCAGAGAGCTTAAAGAAAATCTGAAATTCAGTAAAATCTTAACAGAAGCCGCTGTTGGGTCGGCCATCACCTCCGGGCACGCCTTGATGGTGCGATCCAGTCGCATCGCCGCCAACGGGAGGGTTTGTTCGCCAAGTCCCATTCTGCTCGCCCAGAGGGTCTGTGGTCCGAAGAGTGCGGAGAGGTGCCTGGGTCATATCAATTGGCTGCTGTCCCAGGGGTCCGGTCTGGTTGGCCCGAAGAGTTTGCCAAGGCCCATGGGGGAACAGAATGGTACGGCATATCGGGCAAAGGGGGGCGGTAGCTGGCCTGTCAGACCCGGCGGTAGCTCTCCTGTGTTCCTCAGCTGCTGCTGCTGCTCGGAGGTCCTGCTGCTTCCTCCCCCTCCTCCTCCTCCTCCTCCGACTCCTCCTCCTCCTCCTCCTCCTCAACTTCCACCTTCTTCTCCTCTTTCGCTGGATTCTCCATGCCCTCGGTCGGCAATCGTCGATCCTACGACGACTCTCCCCAACAGAGAAACATCGAAGGCCCTCGGAGCGTCCAACATTGTTCTTTTGTGCCTTCGATATGCCGGTCGCCTCTCGTCCGCTCCCCCCCTCCTGGAAGCAATTCTGAGGCCACTTAGGGCTTCGTGGGGGCCGTTTGGGGATCTCTTGGGGCGTTTTTGCCTGCGATATGCCTGTCGCCTCTCGTCCGCTCCCCCGCTCCTGGAGGGAATTCTGAAGCCACTGAAGGCTTCGTGGGGGCCGTTTCGGAGCCTCTTCGGCCTTCTTTTGGGCCTCCCGGGGGGGCTCTTAGGGCCCTCTCGGGCCGTCTTGGGTGCCTCTTGGGCCGTCTTGGGGCCGTCTGAGGCCCGCCTCGGCGCCTCTTGGGCTGTCTTGGGCCGTCTTGGGCCGCTCCTGGGGCCGTCTTGGGTGCCTCTTGGGCCGTCTTGGGCGCCTCCTGGGCCGTCCTGGGGCGTCTTGGGACCGTCTTGGGGCCCTCCTGGCCCGTCTTGGGGCTCTCTTGGGGTCCTCTTCGGCCGTCTTGGAGCGGTCGGGGGGACTTCTTGGGCCGTCTTGGAGCGTCGGGAAGCCGAAGAGGCGAGGAGGCCGAAAACATCGAAAAACACAATAGAAATCGACGATTTCTGTCGCTCGGGGCCCTCTTGGGAGGCCTCTTGGGAGGCCTCTTCGGGCGTCTTGGACGCCTCTTGGGCCGTCTGGGGCGAATCTCGGGCGTCTTGGGCCCATCTTTAAGCGTGCCGGGGCTCTCCGGGGCCGTCTTGGGGGCTTCTGGGGGCCCTCTCGACATGTCCTGGAGCCTGCCTGGGCGGCCCGGGGCGGCCCGGGGCCAGCCCGGAGCGGTTTTGAGTTAGTTGAGCCTGCGCCCTTCTGGCACGCACTGGGCCCTGCAATGTAGTAGAGACTAGGGCTGACCCGCGGCCTTCCGGCCGCGGAATCTGCCCGCCATGGCGTGGACGTGGAAGTGGAGCGTCTCTGGGGCCTCGCAGGTGAGGGGAACTTGGAGGGGACGGCGTGGATGGAGTTGGCCGCTGGAGGGGGAGGTGGGCGAGGGATGCGGGCAAGCAGGCCTGAAGGCAGGAACGCGGTGGTGGAGGCGGTGTCAGTGGAAGCACACCCATGTAGTCATGGACCGATTGTGAACCACTGACGGCATTGAACCCTGAACGCCCGCGCCGGGATCTCCGCCGCCTAAACTTGGTGGGAACCTACTTTTCCACAACGTCGCCGTGGACGTGAATCGGTCCCTGGGCACTCCCCCACTGTCGAAGCGCACCAGTCTTGTCTGCTGCGTCCAGCCGTGGCGGCGAGGAGCCCTCTTGAAGGCGAACTGTCTGTGTGTGAACTCCGCCTCCGCCGATTTCGTCTGGCCCGAGGAGGAGGAGGAGGAGGAGGAGGAGGAGGGGGAGAAGGGGGAGGAGGGGCAGCAGCAGGATGAGGAGGAGGACGTGGAGGAGGAGGAGGGGGAGGAGGTGGAAGAGTAGAGGGGGAGGAGGAGGAGCAGGAGCTCAAGGAGGCCCCTGAAATGGCACACTGGTGCCTCGCCCCGCTATCTTCGACACCTCTTGGAGCGCTCTGGGGCCGTCTTGGGGGAACCTTGGGCCGTGTTGGGAAGCTCTGGGGGCCGTATTGCGGCCCTGCCAGGCCGTCTTGGGCGGCTCTTCGGCTACATGTCTTGACGCTCCGTCGGGCCGGTGTGGATCCCCTGTGGGAGCCTCCTGGGCCGTCTTGGGGCGGTGTTGGGGGCCTCTTGGGCCGTCGTCTACGCCATGAAACCCGGAAAGCCGGAGATGCTGACATGTGTACGGCTTCCGTCGGGAAAACGAAAATTGTGGCCTCCTGGGGCCCTCCTGGGAAGCCTCTTCGGCGTCTCTGGGGCCGCTTTAGCGCCGCAAAGGGCAGTCTTGGCTTGTCGTGGAGCGCTCTTGGAGCGTTTTGGGGATACCTGGGGCCGTCCTGGGAGCCTCTTGGTGTCACCCTGGGGCCGTTCTGGGCGCCTCTTGGGCTCTCTTGACGCCCTCTCGGGCCGGTTTTCGTGCGTCTTGGGGACCTCTTGGGCCGTCTTGGGGCGGTCGTGGGGACCTGGAACCAGCTTCTGCGCCATATTCCCGACAAGCAGCGCATGCTGGAAGTGAGCGCTTTTCTTCGGGAAAACAATGATTTTCGCCTCTGGGGGCCATCCTTGGACGCCTCTTGGGCGTCTCTGGGGCCGTCGTGGAGGCCTCCTGGGCCGTCTTGGGTGTGTTTTCAGCGGTCTTGGGCTCTCTTGGAGCGCTCTTGGGCCGTCTTGGGTGTGTGTGGCGCCGTCCTGGGCGCCTTCTGGGAGCCTCGTGGGGCCGCCTGGGGGCCGTGTTGGGCGCCTCTTGGGTCTCTGGACGCTCTCGCGGGCCGATTTTCGTGCCTCTGGGGGGCCTCTTGGGCCGTCTTGGGCCTCTTGTCCCATCTTCTGCGCCATACTCCCGACAAGCAGTGTGTGCTAAAATTTGACGTTTTTCGTATGAAAAAAACAATGATTTGGGCCTGTGGGGGCCATCCTGGGACGCCTCTTGAGCGTCTCTGGGGCCGTCGTGGAGGCCTCCTGGGCCTTGTCGGGGCCGTTTTCGGCGGTCTGGAGCTCTCTTGGAGCGCTCTTGGGCCGTTTTGGGGGTGTCTGGGGCCGTCCTGGGCGCCTCCGGGGACGCGTGAGCGCCCCTGGGGCGTCCCCGGAGCCGTTGTGGGGCATTTTACGCCCATCAAGACAGGGACACTTCCCGCACGCACGGGTCCCTGCATTGTAGAGAAGATGACATTGGGCTCCAGCTTCGCCTCCCACATCTCGCTCAGCAACACCAGCGCCCGCTGCCACTGCTCGCCCTTGTCGCACGCGCTGATCCCAGCGCTGTAGCTGATGACATTGGGCTCCAGCTTCGCCTCCCACATCTCGCTCAGCAGCGCCAGGACCCGCTGCCACTGCTTGCCCTTCGCGCACGCGCTGATCCCAGCATTATAGCTGATAACATTGGGCTCCAGCTTCGCCTCCCACATCTCGCTCAGCAGCGCCAGGGCCCGCTGCCACTGCTCGCCCTTCTCGCACGCGCTGATCCCAGCGCTGTAGCTGACTAGGGCAGACCTGTGGACTCCGTCCACGACATCAGCTCGACGTGGCGAGGGATCTCTGGGCAAGCGCGGGGGGGTGCGGCTGCAGGGCCGAAAGGCAATCATGATGGCGTCGGGCTCCAGCTTGGCTTTCCACATCTCGCAGTGCAGCGCCAGGCCCCTCCTCCTCCTCCTTCTCCTCCTCCTCTTCCACCTTCTCCTCCTCTTTCGCTCGATTCTCCATGCCCTCGGTCGGCAATCGTCGATCCTACGACGACTCTCCCCAAAAGAGAAACATCGAAGGTCCTCGGAGCGTCCAACATTGTTCTTTTGTGCCTTCGATGTGCCGGTCGCATCTCGTCCGCTCCCCCCCTCCTGGAAGCAATTCTGAGGCCACTTCGGGCTTCGTGGGGGCCGTTTGGGGATCTCTTGGGGCGTTTTTGCCTGCGATATGCCTGTCGCCTCTCGTCCGCTCCCCCGCTCCTGGAGGGAATTCTGAAGCCACTGAAGGCTTCGTGGGGGCCTCCGTTTGAAGAGCGCGTCACGGAGGACCTCGAGCGTGGAGCCTCGAGGATCCAAGTTCGGAGGTCCGACGGCGCTCCCCATGAGACAAACATCTAAGGCCCTGGGAGCGTCGAAAACGCCTCTTTTGTGTCCGCGATATGCCTGTCCGCCTCTCGTCCGCTCACCCCCTCGTGGAGGCAGGTTCTGAAGCCACTTAGGGCCTCGTGGGGGCCCTTTCGAGGGGCTTCTTTTGGGTCTCCTGGGGGGCTCTGGAGCCCTCTTGGGCCGTCTTGGGTGCCTCTTGGGCCGTCTTGGGACCGTCTGAGGCCGGCTTCGGCGCCTCTAGGGCTCTGTTGGGCCGTCTTGGGCCGCTCCTGGGGCCGTATTGGGTGCCTCTTGGGCCGTCTTGGGCGCCTCCTGGGCCGTCCTGGGGCCGTCCTGGGCCGTCTTGGGGCCGTCTTGGGGCCCTCTTGGCCCGTCTTGGGGCTCTCTTGGGGTCCTCTTCGGCCGTCTTGGAGCGGTCTGGGGGACGTCTTGGGCCGTCTTGGAGCGTCGGGAAGCCGAAAAGGCGAGGAGGCCGAAACCATCGAAAAACACAATGGAAATCGACGGTTTCTGCCGCTCGGGGCCCTCTTGGGACGCCTCTTGGGAGGCCTCTTGGGGAGTCTTGGAGGCCTCTGGAGCCGTCTTGGGCCAATCTCGAGCGTCTTGGGCCCCTCGCTGGGCGTGCCGGGGCCCTCCGGGGCCGTCTTGGGGGCCTCTTGGGGCCCCCTTGGCGTGTCTTGGGGCCTCCCGGGGCGGCCCGGGGCCAGCCCGGGGCGATTATTGGTTAATGGAGCCTGCGCCCTTCTGGTATGCACTGGGCCCTGCAATGTAGTAGAGATGACGTGGAGCTCCAGCTTCGCCTCCCGCATCTCGCTCAGCAGCGCAAGCGCCCGCTGCCACTGCTCGCCCTTGGCGCACGCGCTGATCCCAGCGCTGTAGCTGATGTCGGTGGGTTCCAGCTTCGCCTCCCGCATCTCGCTCAGCAACGCCAGAGCGCGCGGCCACTGCTCGCCCTTCTCGCACGCGCTGATCCCAGCGTTGTAGCTGACTGGAGCTGAACCGTGGACTTACGTCCACGACAGCTTGCCCGCGTGCAGAAGCCGAGATCGCTTGCCTGCTTGTCTGCTGTTTTGTGCGCGTAGCTGGTAGCCAGACAATTGTATTCCCGACGTCACTGCCAGCATGCTATAGCATGCTGGCAGGCCTGGCGGTCGCAACGGACCCTCTGTCGCACGCCACGGCAGCGGGGATGGCCGCCAGCCGGCCGCGGGCAATGCAGCGGCTGCTTGTTTTCTGCTGCTAGCTGCTAATTGTTGCCGCTGCTGGCTTGTGTGCTGCCGGATATGGAGGCCGTCCTGGAGGGTCCTATGGCCGAAACTATTGGGGGCCTCGTTGGGCCCTCTTGGGGCCGTCCTGGGCCGTCTCGGGGTTCTGTGGGGGTCTGTTGGGCCGTCGTGGCGCTCTCTGGAGGGCGTGTCGGGCCGTCTGGAAGCTCTCCGAAACCTACCGTAATATTCTGGGAGCCCTCTGGGGCCGCCTTTGGGCTCTCTTGGGGCAGTCAAAGACCGCCCAGAGGGCCCTAAGACGGCCCGAAGACGGACCGAGACGGCCCAAGGAGGCCCCGAAAGCAAGCGAGGAGGCTCGATGGGGGCCCCCAGAGGGCCCAAGGTGGCCCGCAAGCAGGCCAAGAGTCTCCCCCGAAGCCGTCTTGGAGCTGTCTCGCGTCGAAACGCCTGCGAAGAAAGAGACATACATTTTCCTTTGGGTGTTGGAAAGCTTTGCAATTGCCCTGGTCTTCTGGACAATTCCTGCAAGGCCTCTTGGAGCGTCCAGGGGCCTTTTGGAGGCCTCTTGGAACCGCTTGAGATCTCTCGGGGGCCCTGTCTGGCGCTTGTCGGGGCCAATTCTGGCCATCTTGGACATTACCGAAGGCTGTCTCTGCGACGTCTTGGGGACCCAGAGCCCACAGGGACCCGGAGGCAGTGCCAACGCCGCTGGAGGCAGAGAAAGCGATTGGCCCACGCACTTGTCCCAGAAGTGCAGGGATGATGATAGCTTCGGGCTCCAGTTTCAAAGTTTTTGACGTTGCGGCTCGCTCTCGGGAGCCTCGGGTTGAAGAGCTTACTGTGTCACCGTTCGCTCTTAGGGAGCCTTGGATTGAAAAGCCTTTTACTGTACCGATCGCTCTTTTATTTGGCGTCTGTGCGCCTTCTCCGTGGTCCTTGTGGGGGAATTTTTGGAGACCTGCAGGGGCTCTGTTGGGCCCTTCTGTGGCCGTCTTGGGACGTCTTGGGGCCCGTTTGGGCCGTCACAGGGCGTCCTGGAGGCCTTGGACCGTCGGGCTCTCTGGAGGGCTTCCTGGGGCCCTCTTGCGAGCCTCGTCGGGCCCTCTGGGAGCCCTCTTGGAGCCGTCGTGGGGCCCTCCCAGGCCTTTTGAAGGCACCCTTGGGCCGTCTTTGGGCCCTCTTGCACGGTATTGGAGCTCTCTTGGGGGCCGCTTGGGTCGTCTTGAAGGGTTTTGGGGGGCCTCTTGGCCTGTCCTGGACCGCGCAACAACGCAAAAGGCGGATATGCTGAACATGTACATTTCCCCAGAGGAATGTGACGATGTGTGCCTCTTTCGCGTCCTCTGGTGCCCTCTCGGAGCGTCTTTGGGGCCTCTTGGACTGTCTTGGAACTCCTTTTTGAAATCTTCGGGGCGCCTTGGAAGCCTTGGACCGTCTTGGGGCTCTCTGGAGGGCTTCCTGGGGCCCTCTTGGGAGCCTCGTCTTGGAGCTCTCTTGGGGGCCGCTTGGGTCGTTTTGGGGGGTTTGGGGGAGGCCTCTTCGTCTGTCCTGGACCGTATAACAACGCAAAAGGTGGAGATGCTGAAGATCTGAAGATGTACGTTTGCCCATCGGAATGTGACCATTTTTGCCATTTAGGCGTCCTCTCGGGGCCCTCTCAGAGCGTCTTTGGGGCCTCTTGGGCCGTCTTGGGGCCACCTTCTGAGGTCTTTGGGGCGTCTTGGACGCCTTGGACCGTCTTGGGGGCCGCTTGGGTCGTCTTGGGGGGGTTGGGGGGGCCTCTTGGCTTGTCCTGGGCCGCGCAACAACGCAAAAAGCGGAGATGCTGACCATGTACATTTCCCCAGAGGAATGTGACGATATGTGCCTCTTTGGCGTCCTCTCGGGGCCCTCTCGGAGCGTCTTTGGGGCCTCTTGGACGGTCTTGCAGCCACCTTCGGAGGTCTTTGGAGCGTCAAGGCCCGTCTCGGCACCAACTGAGGCCGTCTTGGAACGCTCTTGGACAGTCTTACAACCCCTCTGGGACGCCTCTTGCGCCGTCGCGGGCGATTCGTCCGTGGTGGGGCCGTAGACGCGTGATTTTATGCACTTGAGTGCCCACCCTTCTGGCACGCGCTTCCGCCCGCCACGTAGGAGAGACTAGGGCTGACCCGTGGACTCCGTCCACGACATCTTTCTGGAATGGTTCTCGGAGGAACGGCGCAGATTGCACCGAAAATCTACAAACACGGCGGCGGCTCGGGCGGCGGCAGCGAGACCGCGCCTTCGTGTCCGAGCTCTTGCAGCGCTCCAGCAGCTTGGCCCAGCGCACTGCTCGTTCACCCCCCTCCTATTGAGGACAGTTTCGAAGTCTCTCGGGGATGTGCGTCGAAGTCGAAGCCCATCTGAGGCGTCTCAGGAGCGCTCGGGGAGGGGCTCGGGAGGCAATCAGGGAAAGCCACCGAAAGCGCTGGGGAGGCTCGCAAGGATCTACAGGGAGGGCACACGTGAGCTTCAAGAAAATTTGAAATTCTGTAAAATCTTTAGAGAAACCGCTGTTGGGTCGGCCATCATCTCCGGGCGCGCCTTGATGGTGCGATCCAGTCGCATCACCGCCAACGGGAGGGTTTGTTCGCCAAGTCCCATTCTGTTTGCCCAGAGGGTCTGTGGAGGCCTTCGGGCGAGCAGAACGGGACAGGGCAAGGAATGGGGAAGACTTGTCCGAATCTCCTGGGCCCCCCAGGTGCTCGTCCGAAGAATGCGGAGAGGTCCCAGGGTCATATCAATTGGCTGCTGTCCCAGGGGTCCGGTCTGCTTGGCCCGAAGAGTTCGCCAAGGCCCCTGGGGGAACAGAATGGCACAGCATATCGGGCAAAGGGGGCGGTAGCTGGCCTGTCAGACCCGGCGTTCGTCTTCTGCCCAAGCGGCGCGGGGCCCACGGGCCCCAGGGTTGGCGGCCCGCTGGGTTTCCTCTTGTTCGCCCACAGGGTTGGAGGAGGCCTCCAGGCGAACAGAATGGGG